ACCGCCATTTTATGTTCGAAATTTTAATTGGGACCAAAGAGAGTTTAATTCTTTTTGTTTATAAAAGGCTAGTTCCAAGAACATCCTTAAGTTTGGCAAACAAAAAGTTTTTATTGTCTCCGATTAAAATTCCGGCGCGGGGTTGAACAAATGAGCAGTTTTTGCCAACCACGCCTTGGAACACCTTTGAATGCCACCAAGATGGCCGGCTGATGAGATAGCTGGTAATGAATTAGCGACAGAAAAGTTTTCGCATTTTTCTTGAATGAATTAAAGTAAAAGTTCTCAAATTAAAAGTGGTTGTAACTTTCAATCCTTGTTTGAATAGATCTAATTTTGGTTTAATATAAAAACGGACAGTCCCTTTATATAGATCCGTTAACTCATATTTTGTAGAGCTTTTGTAGCACTAGGGTTTTGTGGTTTACACACTAAAAAACGCTATACAATAGATAGGCGTGACTAAAGCTGTACATAGCGCTATATGATAATATTAGACAGGCAAACTACTTATTCACTATAAAATATCGAACGATATTTTATAGTGAATGTAATATCGAACGATATTTTATAGTGAATAAAAATAACTCCCTTTAAAAGAAATTATGAAAATCATAATGATAAATGTCATACCGTTTAGAAGTATCAGTAACACATACCACGAATGCCGGAGAGCACCTGCGTACGATTAACACTAACGTCAAAATAGACTGAGACAAAAATATTTCCGTCCACACCGAACTAACGGGGATCATTACTCCCTTAATTATATTACAGGCTAAAATCAAACTTATCTTCAAGATAGCAGAATTTATTTTAAGGCTAAATGTTATAAGCGAAATAGTTTCCTAGTCGAATCCAATGATACTTAATTGCTGGTGAAGTAATGACACATGCGGCTAGTTAAATCTCTCTCGATACAATTAACGAATGAATTCCAGTGTTCGATATAAGATATCCAAGTCTTGAGTTAATGGTTTAATTATGGAAATTGCGTTTAGTGTGTGTTAGTCCTTATAGGCTATGAATAAAATTGAAACCAAATGAAGATGTACATACATACTATAATTAGATTTTAAAGTGAAAAATTGTTATTATTGATACATTTAAAACGTAACTCAAACTTTATAGAAAATGTAAGTTATTAATGCAAAGCTATTTATTTGTTAAAGATACGGTTTCCTGTTTGTGATAAACTTTTTTATTACATTTATAAGCGATAGTAATATTTTAAAATTGAGAAATGTATGAGAAGCACAAAATGTATGTAAATAGTTCAATTTGTTAAATTTATTCCGATTTAAATATCGATTAATTTGCAATCTTGTCTGACGACTGTAAAATGTTAATGTGTGCGCTATAGATAATTTGTTAAACTGAACTAGTATCACGTTACGTAACGGAACCACAAATCATACAAACTTTTTTTGAAAAAACAAAACTAAGCGTCTGCTAATTGACGCTTTCCTACTTACATCAATTTTAAATTTGGAAAAGGAATATGTAAAAGTAATGGTTAAAAATAGAGTGTCATTATTTAAAAAGGGTTTGATGGCCTGTTTGGCTTCCGTGCTGCTGCTAGTTTCATGGTGTAGTCAGTCATTCATAGAGATTTAAGACGTTCCTTTCCTTTCCGGGAAAAAGAAAATTGGCTTTCTGTAATATTTTCTTGGATCTGAATGGTTGTTTCCACAACTTGCTTCTTGATTTTATAAATATATTTAGCAATTTATATCGTTAGTGTTCGTAATAGTTCATATTTAGTTTTTTTTTTAATTTCATATTAATGCTGTATGTAGTTTAGGTAGGTATTTTATATTAATAATTTATGAAACACGAACTTCTGACATCTGCGAATTATAAATAAAATAAATAAGACGAATTGAGAACTTCCTCCTTTTATGTTTTGAAGTCGGTTTTAAATAAATAAATATAATCAAAGCATAATAGTGGCATTTGTCATTATATCCACTAAATGTTTCTGTTGATGTTTTTATTACTAATCTCATTAGTGCTCGTTATATTTATTTCTGTAAGTACTTATGAAGAGTTGGTTCCGTTTAAAAATGGCCTCTCATTAGACGACTAACGTGGGCGCATTATTCGTTTTTTTAATAGACTTTTTTTTATAGTCGTAGGTATTTAATTTTGACGTGGGAGGTTTTTGAATGTTTTAGAATTATGTGATCAACGGTTACATATTCATAGAAACTTAGAAGTTGGAAGAAATACATATGATTTGAGTATACTTATTGTTTGGAATGTAATTATTTTTGCATTCACAATGTTCTATTTTGAGACTTCTTATGAAGTTATCTCATTAATATACGGAAATTAATAACTATAAAAGAGATTAATAAAGAGTAATTAGTTATTTATTTTTTAATTATATTATTATATATCTTTCCTAAATATTAGTAGTAGGCACCTATACACTATCACCGACAAGTTTTATACATATAGAAAGTAGAAAATAAAAACATAATTTCATATCAAAAAGTACCTATAAGAAATTACAATTTTGTATCATTATCAAAGGTAACATTTAAATTTAGAGATTTTTTTGCTTGGTTGTGCAACTAGAGTGAAACGTTAATGAATCGTTAGCTAATGTGACATCTCTGAAACAAAAAAATAGTTTTTCGTTAAAGAAATTTCTACTAATTATTCTATCGCACCCTTATTTTTTTTAATATGCTTTTAAATCATATGCTGGCATACCGAGGATGTTTGAGGGACTCTTATAGGCCATATTTGGACCGTTAGTCAAATGCCACATCATTTGTATCGTAAATCAATGAATTCCTTTCGTTTAGGTCCACACGTGGGCCATTTTTTGCTGTGTCATTTGTAGGGAAAATTTGAGCTAATTGGATTTTTTATTATTAAAATTAATATTGTTCGGAAATATTTTTTCTGTGATAAAAGACTAGTTAGTATTTGGATTGCCGGTATATCTCAGTACCCCGTCGTACATATAACTAGTTGTTAACTGTTAAGCTAGATTTAATAAACTGAAATTACCTGAATAAAATGCGTACTTATTTTATTTATTAGTGTTTGAGAGGCTTTTTTTAAAATTTTAATTTACATTTAACCCTAAACTACTAAATGGTAATGATTTCTATTATAGGAATATTAATAGAGCATTAAAACCCTTACACATCACTTTAAGTTCAAACATTAAAAATAAACATCTCCCTATCACTTCACACTTGAGTTGTGACCCAAAATAGCCACAAAATGCATTTAGGGCTGTCCTATTTTGTAAGTAACTAAATTAATATTTTACTTAAGTAATTTATTTTCCTTCTTTTGAAAAGACGTGTTCTTTTTTTAGGATTGATGTTTTTTTTAAGATATTTTTAAGTGGTATAGCAAGTATATTTGTATATATTTTTTCATATGGTCAATTATAAAAAAGAATACTTTAAATAAGTTGTGTTTTTTAATTATTTAAGTATAGACACTTAATGTACTTATTTTATAAATCGCTTCCAAATGTTATAATTTATTTAAGAATACTGTAGACATCCCTAAATGCATAAAGCAAAATCTTTGCAGCGCGTCTAGAAGCTCCCTAATATCATAAGCGGTGCAAAAATTTGGGGTTCCTATATCACCCCAATCGTTCCATCTTTATCACACACCCATCAAAGTATACATCTGACCCTGTCTATCATAGATAGTGATACTAAATAGGTATTTAGTATTCGGAAGGGAGACAGTTAATTACGTGGGGTGAAAAGAAAAATAGTGCTGGCGGCTAACTTATTTATTTAGCAAGTATAAATCTTATGTTATTGAATTAAAGGTTGTTTTTATATAATCAGATGTTACAGTTAATTTTGTAACTGTGAGAATTGACTTGTGTTTGGTTTTCCGTATTAAAGATGTGATATAAATACAATATTATTAATTATGAACGCTTCATTGATTTCTATGTTATGTGGAAAGATTTATTGCGACTAAAACGGTGTTAGACTTATGACATTTTTAATATAACTATATAGTAAGGTTTAAATATGTGAAAAGTTTATTTATGTGTATTTAACCGTTATACAGCGTAATAATTATAATATAGTCCATAGAAAATTAAAATTTTTAGTAAGTAAATGTCATATGGAATCAGTTTCCCTTGTTGGATTGATTTAAAACTTTGAAGACCACGTGAGTTATTTTATAAATTATAGCTTTCAGTGATAAAAGCCTTTTAATGTTAGTCAATTGTGTTAACTAATATTATGAAGAGTGAAGATTGATTGTATGAATTGAATAGGCTCCGAAACTACTGAACTGATTTTTTTTATTATTGCATCCTACGCGGGTGATATAGTTTATAATTTATGCTGGCTAAATAAAATAACCAGCTTAAAATGAGAATAGACTTGAGTTCAATGCAATTTTTAAAGGAAATAGCTGTTCATACTTGCGATGAACAGATATTTTGAACCTTTAAATTTAATATCACTATAATATAATAAATAAACCCTCGATATCAAGATAAAAAGGTTACCTTTTTATCAAAAATGTCTACAATTTTTTATAGTCACCGTTTATATAAAAGAAAAAAAAAACACGTTTACAAACCTAAACAGTAGAAGTGTCAAACAAATACTCAATGAACTGACGGCAACAAATAATTGTGACTACTGCCGCACTAAATCACGGGACCGCTAATTTGAAACGGACCCGGGCATCGGCGCTGATCTCATAAAGGGAGCCAACGCCGCTCAAAAGGATTTAACAAGCGGCATTCACGACTGCTCATTATATTTTTATACTTTATACCAAGGACGTAAACTGCACGATCAAAACGCGCGAACCCCTACAAAAGGTAATTATGTTTTGATTCCTACAAAAAAAAATCGAGTATCACAAAGGAGACTAACGAGATAAGAGCGTGCTAAATCGCTCTCCCCTCGGCCCCCGCTCGGATCAATTCGGGACAGAACGGTCGATTGGTGGAGAGGGACAGCCTGAATGTAGAGGCGCGGCTAATGGAGGCGACGCCCACTCCTCGTACGAGGGTACCGGCTGCTCGGCTCTCGCCAGTACACCTCCGGCGGCGCTCGCATGCGTACACGATCCCCGATCGCGTCATCAGTGAATCTGTGCTAAATGGAACTGATCAGTCAATGTTAAAGAACACAAGTTACGAGGACAAAGAAGTGACAAACATGGCGATACAAAGTGTGTCAAGATACCCTAGCAGCCCAGCGGAAGCAACGGAACCACCGAAAGCGTCGAGAATTAGCTTCAGCGTGGCATCGATCCTGGCTGATTCAAAGGCGAACCAAGTAGATGAGACGGCCGAGATGATAAGGCATCACAGAAGTATACCCGAATCACCGTTGCGACAATCGCCGTCTGCGCAGCCCGAGTTGCCTGGTGGGAAATCTCCAAGACCGTCTTCGCAAACACCACCTTTAAACTTAAACGCTTCAGCAACGGTCACATCATCTGATGAAGAATACGAAGACTCCGTAAATCAAGAAGACTCGATAGTAGACGTAGAGGACCTGCAGAATATACCTAGTGAAGATGAGGAAAGGACGGGGAATGATAAAGGAAGATTAGTTCGGCCGACTCCTTTCAGCGCGTTGGCGGCGGCGGCAGTAGCCTACCATGGGTTGGGATGGCCAGGTCCACCTTCAGTGGTGCCGTCTTTTGGGCCACTTTTCCAGTCACATTTTCCAGTTGGACATTTAACAGGTTAGTGGAAAACTTTTCCGGATTATTTTGTAAGATTTTAACTCCGATAGAACTTACTTCCGAGGAAGATAGTTATGCTTATTTCATAGCTTTTTTAAGTTGTTTTTTTTTCTTTAGTCGTAGTCTGAAGTTGATAACCTTTTGTTATAAGATTACTTTATGTGCTTTAGCTATAAAATTAGTGTTGGTAATATTGGAAAACCAACAGTTTAAACGAATATATTTGTGAATAATTATGAATAACTATAATGTCAACGTCGGTCATTATAGTTAGTCGGATTACTGACGTATATGACAAAGTCAATAGGATAAATTTTAAATTATTTCTATAAATTATATATCACTAATTTACATAATTAGACCACAAAAGTCCAATTAAGACTCATGGAGTGCTCACGCAACTCTATTAATAAATCAATTAATAATAAACTGAATATACAATATTTAGTTTTCTATATAGTGCTACAATTGTTTTGGGGAATGATTTTAGAAATTCAATGTAATATGTATGAGTCGAGGATAATAAACGATGGTGCGACTTCACAACTACAATAATACTTACCCATAGTTATTTAATTATGATATATTTTTAGTAAAAAAATAAGGAAATTTTAGTCAAAGCTCAGGTAAGCTTTAAACGCATTACAAAAAAAAAAGTTTAAATTATTACCCATATATTGGCAATATTTAGAAGTGGTACAAATATATCGTAACATTCGTCAAATAATATGTAATTCGGGATATCAACATTTTTTTTTTAATTTTTGTAGGCATTTAGAAAAAATATTAGCTATAGGTAAGTTTTAGTTATCATTGCAATAAGCAACGATAACATGACTATATTTATCTGGCTGATCAAAATTTGATTTGGAAAGAGCTAATTTTTTGTGCGTTAATATTTTCTGGTCCGACCTTATTTATCAGAATTTTAATAAAAATATTAAAAAATGTATAAAGTAAATTTTGAGTTATTAGTATCTATATAATTAGATTCTCGTCAAATTTATTGGTTTCCAGCTGCGACATAAAAGATGCCGACTCATTATAATATAATTTCAATAATGAACATGATAATGATATAACCCATATTAATAAACCAAATTAGTTGACACAATTTATCAAATATTTTTTTAATTACACAACTATCAATTAAATGTTTTATATTAATTCGAAATTAATTATCTTAATCATCTAGATGAATTTATTTGCTAGTGATACATGTAGTTTATTTGTTTTTGATATTAGGTTCTTGATACTATTGAGAATATAATTTGGAAAGATACTCCAAAACAAGTAATTATTTTTATAAGTAAATATATTAGTTTTTGTGTAGAACAGGTATGAATTATATGTAGTTAATTGTTGATTATATTAAATGTTAATATAATAAGCAGGAAAGCCTAATTTATTAATAGTTTAATTGTAAATTTGTTTCAGTAAAATATGTAGGTAATCAATGGAATTTGACAAGTATATTTCTATAATAGTAATACTTTAAGTGCATCAAATTTATCTATACAATCTTCGTAACTTTTATTTACAGACTAGTTAAGACGCAAGAATTATTGTTATGAGTAATGCGCACGCGCAGGTGGTGTTGCTATTTTTTTTTCTTTATTATATTTGCATTAATTTCTCATGAAATATTAAAAAAGAAAAGTCTTTCTTAATGAAAAATATTTCAACGATCACCAGTTACAGGCACCCCTAGATTTCCTTCTTCTTAATAAAAATATAATGTTAATCATTGAGTGTGTTTCGGATATATAAGATTATCAATATTAACAGAAATGTTAATATATATATAGTTATCTTAGCAGTACCACATTAATATTTATAATATTTTATTGAGTACCTAACAGACTAATATTCGTTGGCTATTATATTATTGGAAATAAATAATGTGCGCTTAATACAATCCCATGAAATTATTTATTCCACGTCTTCAAAAGGTTACTAACTATAATGTTTTTAATGGATATAACAACTGCAACATAATAAATCTCTTAGAAGCTACTATGTAATAAGCTCGGAAGATGCCAACAAGAATGTTGTCCATGAATGTTTCAAATACTTATGAATCTAAAATATGATAATAGGACTAACACAACTCGGAAATCTTTTGAGACGGTCGCAACAAACAGAATAAAGGGTGTAAAGCTGTACATAAATAACTGATCCAACGAGATGCGAAAACAATAACCTCGAGTCGACAAGATGGCGGGATCAATGGATACAACATGGCGGCTTTGCATAATAGGCGGGAAACGAATAACTGAGTGAAAGTTTTGGGAAAGGATTATAATTTTAATGTAAAATTAATATTTTCTTGAATTGAATAATATCTCAGGGCGGGTTTTTCCATTGCATCAAAATGTCAATACCATAGCAAGCCAAGGTAGATAATTTAATTTATCAAAACACGATTTATATTATAAAAAAAATGAAGCAGATCGTGGTGATCTTATTAAAATATATAATTTTATTTTACTTGCAGTTTTAATTTGATGGATTAATATTTATTACGTATATATTTTATGAAAATCGATTTTGCCAACAGGAAAAGGAGATCCATTTTACACATAACTGCATTTGTTTGTTTGTATTAAAAACTAATTTAGGATATCCTGGATCGATAAAAATAATTTGTTTTAATTAGGTTTCTGTTATTGTTTTTGTATAATTAATTTGATTCGTCATGAAAATACCATGTATGATAAATTGCACTAATACCTACGTGCGTAACTGTTTCGGTTTAATTTATTAAACTAAACTAGTTCCTTTTTGTATTTACTTAGTAAAGTAAATTTGTAGTTTTATATTATTTTTTATGAATTTATATATATATTAAAATTTTGCCTTGTACGACAAAAAAGCTTTCTGCTACTTCTCTATCAATCGTTTACTTTCTTCGTCTATACATCATACATACATAATAGACGTGCTGTTGCTTGTACTATCTTTACATCTTACCTGTGCCTGGTTCTGCGGCTAACTGGGGATAATACCTTAGTACAATAAGCATAATTTTGCAATGCAATGCAAAAAAGTATAAATAAATAAAGCTGAGTATTGAAAAGAGGTTATTTTTTAAAAGCCCATAATAGGTATGTTCTGTAATTCGAATTAATGTTATATTAACAATAAATAAGCAACAACAACAAACAATAAGCTCGATAATGATAATGCGTACACAATCCAAGACAGAAAGCATCCATGCTACATTTTTACTGCATTCCTCATCTATACATATATCAAAGGAGATGTCCTGACATACTGACTGCCAGACAACGCACATCTTAAACCGCTGGTCGTAAAGACTTGAAATTTAGAGGGTACATGACTCTTATTATGTAGAGGTGTACTAAGAACGGATCTTTGATAATTCCACTCCGAAGGAGGTCAAAACGGGTGAATACATTTGTATGAAAATTTTTGTTTTTGGACCTATACCGATGAAAATTGGTATTTGAGTAGTTTAAGAGCCTGGGAAGGTGAGAGTTTCTTTTTATTTTATCCAAAAATCAAATATTTGTGGTATGAAAATGGGCGTGGAAATTTTTATGGGAAATGAAAATGTTACCATAGCAACCATTTTTTTCTATTTGATTTGTCATTACAATTATCTTTATAATTTTATTTACAAATATTAGATAGCAATAAAAATTGATATTCGAGTAATCTATGATCTATAAAATGTTTAAGTGCAAGTAATTTTATTTCCGAAATAAAATTGTATTTATACTATATTATGAACTATACTAGATGGCGTTACATATATTCTACATCGCGTTGTTTTGGTCAAGGTTGAGTTTTAAAATTAAATGAAATAAGAACATTAAGCTTTGCTATACCATATGGTGTAAAATGTACTCAAACTGCGTTATCGTTTGGTTGAAAGAATTTTGCGTAGATTTCAATTTTGTGTAAACTTCAGACCGGTGTTTCTTCTTCCATCTGTATTTGAAATTGATTAAATATAGTATCTAATATCTAATAGGTTAAATATAATATAGTATTGACACCATATATTTGTTTGAATCTGCTACTTCTAAGCTATTATAATAAAAACTTATTATTGTTAATATTCTGCTCGATGCAAATACACTAATTTCTTCAATCATTATTTGAAAGTAGTTTGAGATTTATACATAGTATATTTTGATGGTGTAAATGAGTGTGTGAGCTTCTGTGTTTGTATGTGTATTAGGGTCCGTATATTCTATCATCGCAAATAGTTTCCCCTCGTTCACTACATTACCTAATTATCCTACATTATACATAATTATGTATTCTTATAAGACGTTGGATAAGAATCTGGTTCATATGCAATTTTCGTTTAATTAATTTATTTTTACAGCTTTATTTCAGACCACAATAATGATCATATTTTTTATCTTAACAAATTGATTGCTTGTAGCTGTCTAGTAATTAGTGGAGCCTAAGCATCCAAGCTTTAGCGAAAATATGTTTTAAAGAATGTTAATATACGTAATTATTAATAAAGAATGCAACTTACACAGAAGACAACTTATTCAGGTTATACAAGTTTCGTTGCAACGTCGCAATTGTCTATAATATTAAAATCTCGGGTTGTATTTTATATTTATTTTAAAATATGTTAACCAAAGTGTATTTTTTTTTTCTTATTAGAAGGGGCATTGTTATTTTATGAGATTTTATTCACAAAATTTTGTCACTGACTAAATAGTTAAATTTGAACCACGTATTTTATTTTTGTTTAGAATATTTAATATCTCAAAACTTTTAGAGAAAAGTAACTAAATATCGAATAACATACCGTAAATGGAACACTGAAAATACATTCAACACTTTTCTTTCCAGAAATTTTAATACACTTTAAACTAAGCCAGGTGATCAATTCGTGAACCGAACGCAAATTTCTTGGGCTTCTTGATAATTTACTAATTTTCCCTTGTTAGAAATCGTTTAATTTCAATATTCCTTATTAAGGAAGGCTTGTATTCCATATTCAGATATTAATATGGTATTATTATATTAAATATATAATTATTCGTGTGGCTTAGGTGTAAAAACACTCAAAAATTTAACTAAATATATAGTATGTGTTATTATTCCGTTCGGGAAATATAAATAATGATATAAGAGATTAAATATTTATTGTACTAATATATTCCATTGATTAATAAATGAAATCACAAATTAGAGTACCATCTATTAACCTAACGAGGTTCTACTTAGCTGGTATGGATATACTTCTACCTTCTTGGGCATTAACTTTACTACAACATAATTGCATAGAATTAATTAGACAGATATTTCGCTATAATTAAGCAATCATAAAATGCTGCACTTACGATCTCTTAATGATAGCACAATAATTTTGAACTCGTCCTACTCTAAGACGTGGTAACAGGTAATACTTTCGAAGATCGTGTACCATTCTTAATGC